GCTGGGGCTGGGGCCAGAGCCAGAGTGGAGAGACTGTGGGGGAGCCAGGAACCAGGTTGGGGAAGCTGTGGGTGCCCAGGTAGCTGTGGGGGAGCTTAGAGAAAGCTGCAGGTGCCGAGAGAGGCTGCAGGAGAACCAGGGAAGCTGCAGGTGCCAGGGAGAGGCTGTGAGTGCCAGGGGAAGAAAGCAAGGAGCCGCTGGAGGTGGTAGAGGCAAGCCAGGAGATTGGGAGATGCTACGGGAGGTGCCAGGGAGATCAGGGAGAAGGCAGAGACAGTGAGGGACACGGGGGAAGCTGGGGATGGAGAGAGAGAGAGAGAGGAATGGAGGGAGAGATCGGGATCAGGGAGAAGGCAGAGGTGGCAAGACACAAGTGGGAACGGAGAGAGAGATCATGGAGAAGACAGAGGCGGAAGACAGAGTGGGGGCTGGAGCTGGGAGGCCAAGGAGTAGGCCCGGGAGGTCAGCGGAGAGGGAGAGAAAGCCAGAGCCGGGGGAGATAGAGGCGGCAGAGAGGAATGAAGCCCAAAGGGAGTTCAGAGAGATGGGGATTTAGTTGGGAGCCAGCAGCAAGACAGAGACCAACTTGGGGTCAAAAAATATATATATCACTTTTATTAGACAGGCAATGTACTATACAGCTCACAAAGTTATTGGTTTCTATATACACACAGACAAGCACTTACACACACACCCACACAACGGTAGCAGGAGAGGAAGGGTTTGGTGGAGGGATTGAAGTCAGGGTGTATAGGAACAGAGTCCAGATCCTTTGCTTGGGGAAGGAAGGTGGGTGATAGCTATCTATCCTGGGCTGTGAGTTGATCCGTGATGGCCAGTTGGGGTCTTCCCCAGCAAGGTATTGTTCAGAGGCGGTCACCAGCAGGGCCTCTGGGTGGATAAGTGGTGTTGCATGGTGCTGGTCCAGATGGAGAGGGAGTCCCAAAGAGATCACACTCTTCCACCCCTTTTATAAGGGTGGGCTACCTGTGTCTCCTATGGGAAGGACATGTCCAGGCAAGGACAGTTCTGCTTAGATGCATACATGAAGATCCAGGTGTCCTCATTGTCTGAAGGGACACAATGGTGAGGTTCCTGGTTTTTGTAGGGTCTTTGTCTTCCAAATGTTGGGTTCCTGTGGGTTCTTTATCTTTCAAATGTTGGGTTTTGTCTCTGTTCCTGGGTGAAGTCTGTGGTTCCTGGGTGAGTCAATGCAAGGCAATGGTCTGGTGGTTGAGTCGATGGTCCGGTGGTTGAGTTGATGGTCTGGTCATTGAGTTGATCATTCAGTAGAGGCCTGCTACCATTGTACCTCAAGCACCTTCATTCTTTCCCATTCATCCAGGAACCAATTTACATGAGACTGGTTAGACATGAGTCACAGTTACAACATACTATCCAAGAGGTTATACCAGGGCAGAGGACACAAAGTGAGGCTTGACATACAAAATGGAAGCTTGACATTACTTGACATTACTTTACAGACACAGGCCTAAATCATATCAATTAAAACAGTAAAAATCAATACAAACATAATAGAACACTATTTACAATATAAAAGGGGTTTGTTACTATAAGGGAGTATATGAACTTATCTTAGTTTACCTACTACAACTTGTAATCATGTATAAGGATTAGAGAGGACAGAGAAAAAGTAAAAAATGGTTGGGGAAGGGGAGGGAATATATTTTCAAATAAAAAAAAGAAAAACTGGGAGTTTTGCTA